ACGGCAGGAGGGTGAAGAGTGTGTGAGGGGTGTGTGGGGTCGTCAATGCTGGTGGCTTTACGGATGCAGCATGAGGTGTAAATGTCCGTGATGGAGGGAAGAGAGACCCCGATGATTTTCTCAGCTGTCCTCACTATCCGCTGCAGGGTCTTACGATCTGAGACGGTGCAATTCCCAAACCAGGCAGTGATGCAGCTGCGCAGGATGCTCTCGATAGTCCCTCTGTAGAACATGGTGAGGACGGGGGGTGGGAGATGTGGTTTCCTCAGCCTTCTCAGAAAGTACAGGCGCTGCTGGGCTTTCTTAGTTATGGAGCTGGTGTTGAGCGACCAGGTGAGGTTCTCCGCCAGGTGAACACCAAGAAACTTGGTGCTCTTGATGATCTCTATGGAGGAGCCGCCGCTTTTCAGCGGAGAGTGGTCATTCTGTGCTCTTCAACAACCATCTCTTTAGTTTTGTCCACGTTCAGAGACAGGTTGTTGGCTCTGCACCAGTCCGTTAGCCGCCGCACCTCCTCTCTGTATGCTGACTCGTCGTTCTTGCTGATGAGACGGTCGTGTCATCGGCGAACTTGATGATGTGATTCGAGCTGTGCATTGCTACACAGTCGTAAGTCAGCAGAGTGAACAGCAGTGGACTGAGCACACAGACCTGTGGGGCCCCAGTGCTCAGTGTGGTGGTGTTGGAAGTTTGTGTTGACTGTTTTGCACTCAACAGAATCAATCACAGCATGGGTCCTCACATCAATGGAGGTTTGGTTTTATACAGCAGTAAAGCACAGAAACCACCATACATCAATTCACATGTATCTCCCTGTGAAATACATGTGTGTATATATATGTATATATACAGTCAGGTCCGGAAGTATTTGGACAATGACAGAGTTTTCGTGATTTTGCCTTTATACACCACCACAATGGATTTGAAATAAACCAATCAAGATGTGATCGAAGTGTAGACTTTCAGCTTTATTTTAAGAGGTTCCACAAAAATATGGCATTTACTGTTTAGGAATTACAGCCATTTTCAACAAAATACCTCTATTTTCTGGGGTTCAAAGGTATTTGGACAAAGTGACATAGTTGTAAATATAACCATAATTTTAATACTTGGATGAAAATCCTTTGCAGTCAATGACTGCCTGAAGTCTGGAGCCTATGTTCTCAAAACTCAAATTCTGAGTTTCCTCCCTGGAGATGCTTTGCCAGGCCTCACTGCAGCCGCCTTCAGTTGCTGTTTGTTTGTGGGTCTTTCTGCCTTCAGTCTTGTCTTCAGTAAGTGAAAAGCAGCTCTATTGGGTTGAGATCAGACGACTGACTTGGCCATTGAAGAATATTCCATTTCTTTGCCTTCAAAAAGTCTTGAGTTGCTTTTGCAGTATGTTTAGGGTCATTATCCACCTGCACTGCACTGTGAAGCTGCATCCTATCAGTTTTGTAGCATTTGCCTGAATGTGAGCAGAGAGTAAAGCCCTATACACCTCAGAATTCATCTTGCTACTTCTGTCAGCAGTCACATCATCAATAAACACCAGTGAGCCCGTTCCACTGGCAGCCATACATGCCCATGCCATAACACTGCCTCCACCATGTCTGACACATGATGTAGTATACTTTGGATCATGAGCTGTTCCTTTCTTCCACCATACTTTTCTCTTCCCATCATTCTGGTACAAGTTAATCTTGATTTCATCAGT